CGCTCGTGTTTTCATGGCGTGTGTTCATTACATATTCAAGCCCATTACATTCCTGATCAATAGCAGCTTTTTGAATAGTCATTCCATTTTTTATTTTTTTGTTTTTTAATGCAGCACGCTTCGGTAGCTTTCTTCTACAAAGGTGCAGAACCAGGAGCAACTAAGCAGTCTTTCTGTGAGAGGGGTTTAGGAAAAGAGCATTTGCTGGCTGCTGGATGGCATTCATACACCCTTCCTATCCCATTAGGATGTCTAGTTGTTGCTCTCCCAGTTGCTCACCTTGGATAAAGGACAGCACTTGTATAGAAGGATATTGGATACAAGATCCTCATCCCTTTTCCAGTTCAGGCTGGCATAGATTGCATGAGTATTGCATGAAGTGCCTCATAACTATTTTAGGTTTATTAAGCTCATTTCAGTGACCTAAGCTAGCAGTGATGTGGGTGAACCTACCCTTCAAAGTGTTTTGTGCCCTAGTCTCTCATTTGCTTCAGTGGGTTCTCTAAGAAAGGAGAAAAAACCCACGTTTGGTCTCAGTAGTACTTGTATCAGTACATTTTGACTTCACTGTCTTATTGTAAAGAGTTAAAGTATGGTATGATTGCTCATGCAGTGTATTTCCAACTGCATTCTGTTTCTGATTATAATTCTCTTACGAGAAAGTTAATTTATACTAGGAAAATGCTAAGCCAGTGATAAACATACAACCAATTGATTTTTCCTGTCCTAGTTAGCTAGTACTGAAGATGTTTTGATTGCTGATTTAGAAGCAGGAGAAGCATTATAATTCCATATTTTACTATCATTGCTAGCACTCTTGCTGTGGTCAAGTAACGATACTGTTCTTGCCTGGCTGAAATGGCCAAAGAGGCCCTTGTTGCTGGGAACTGCATGTATGGCAGTTACTGTTGCTGGCAACTGTGTTCGTTGAGGTCAGTGGAAAGACTCCCATGACTTCATTGAGGTTTGAAATTGAGAAACTGAATCTAAGTTTGGATGCTTATGAGGTATCATACTGCATTGTCATGGAATCGTTCAGCTAAATGTGTAGGTATTTTTATATTTCTTATGTAGCTATACTTGATTTTATGAAGACTTAATGCTAATTCCAAAACAAATACTCTCCAGGCAGAAAAACTGCAGAGTCAGATCCGTAGCTCTTTAAAAACAGTTTGTGCTGGGGTGTGAAGTAGTTCTTACTAAATAAGAATGCAAAATAATGATCATTACATCACCATATTTATGGTCCGTTTATGGTCCGGAATATCTCTTGTCACCTTTTCGTGCTGTATTTGCTTTTAGAATAAAAGCACAAGTGTTCTCAAGGCAACTCTGAAAACAGGTGGACATTAATTAGAATCTTTTAGGCTGAAAACAACAGGATCACATATCAAAAGGATCACATATCAACATCTGAAACTTGCAGCATGCCTGCAGAAATACTGTAATGGGGGCCCTGATAAGTTATGCCTGGAGCGATTAAAAACTGCCATGCTTACTTTCAGCATACATTGTTATTTAAATGAATACCATCTTATAAAACATGCTTGTGTTTTTTGTAACCAAAAGATTCTGAAAGGCCAGTTTTGGACCCATACTTCACATTCTGACAGTGCTTGAATCCATTTGTTGCGACATGTTCATTGCTATTTTTAACTTGTGTAATAAGAATTTAATCTTACTTGTTACAAGCTGCATCATACTGAAGGCGTTCAAAAAGCTTTATAGTACATAATAAATAATGCTGGTCAGTATCTTACGAGGCCTATATTTTTTTTTCCCCTCGAGAATGCTACCAGATATGCATAAAGCCCATATCCTATCTGCTTCCCACATACAATTCAAAAGCAGGATACAAACTACTGAAAACAAATGGGGAGGGGGTGGGAGAAGTCACACCATATTCGCTCCTGTTGTGCAACCGTTTTACTTCACAGCAGTTCCATGACTTTCTTATTTGTGGGAAGGATGGAGTGAGGTAGAAACATACAAACTGCTCTTCTAACCTGTTTGTGGCTCTAAAATTGGTTCAAAGTCTCTGAGCAGGGCAGGCAACTGGGTGAATGTGATTTTCAAGTTCAGTGCAAGTACGTACAACTAAGTATATATTATATCACAAGTCATAGCCTGGCAATGCAAGTAAGTGGAATCTACGGGCAGATCTGTATTTACCTATCTTAAGAATTTTCATGAGTATACCAAAAAGTTCCTGATTCACAAATCGGCATGGCTGCACCAGTAAAAGATTCTTAGTGGATACATGTGGTTCTTGTGTACTGCATACTGGTTGAATTCTGTGTAGCTGTTCTACTTTATTCTGCTTTTGCTCTAAGCTCTTAATTTTGATAGGTGTACCATGAAACCCTTCCCCAGTCTCACACATGTTTATTCTTCTTGTAGTTATAACTTTGTCAACTGTCTTCCTTATTAGCCGAGATGCCCAGACAATTTCCAAAGCTGAACATCTCTGAGGTTGATGAGCATGTACGACTTCTAGCAGAGAAAGTATTTGCTAAAGTTCTCAGAGAAGAAGACAGCAAAGATGCGTTGTCACTATTCAGCGTGCCTGAAGACTGCCCTATTGGGCAGAAAGAGGCCAAGGAAAGGGAGCTGCAGAAGGAACTGGCAGAACAACAGTCTGCGGAGACAGCTAAAAGGTTTGTTCAGTAGTTTCTTTCTTAGTGGAAAACATTTTTAAATGAGTTTGAGTTAATATTGAAATATCTGGCAAATAACATCCTGCCTCTTATTACTTCAGAAGAAAGTTCAGCAGCAGGTACCAAGGGCACCTGTGTGCTATCCTCTGCTGTGCAGAAGGTGTGGGGATGAGTCCTAGGGAGCTGGGATTGGTGAGGTTGTCTCGGCTGTGTTTCCAGCAATAGCATAGGTACTGCTTATGCAAGTTTAACAGACAGCATAGCTGGGTGGAAATGAACACAACCCAAAGACTCAAGTCAGAAAAAGGAACACTTTCTGCTCCCCCTTTATTCTAGTTTAATTTGGAAAACGAGAAAATTTTGTCACAGAGAAAATGACAGTGGTATGATATTTCTTTTAGTCTAGGTAAAAATAGATGAAAGCGAAGACTTCACATTTAACATCAAGGGAGAAGGTGAAAAGTGTTATTGGCATAATGAGGTTATTTGTAGGTTTCCTTAACTCGGAGATAAAATCTAACCACTATTAGTCATAAAAACACACATCTTGAATTTTCTCAGGAAAAAAAAGTCCACCCATAAATCTAATAAAGCCAAACCTCCTGTGAAAGAGCTGGCCTTACCCTGGTGTCAGGCTGTTCCAGTGTCTGAACTTCAGTGGACTGGCTGGACTATTCCCTAGAGTCACGTGAGCTCAGCAGCAGTCTGACACCAAATGGCTTGGACATATACAGACTCTTCGAAAAGCAAGCAAACAAGGAAGCCTTTGAAAGTGATAGCTAAACACGTGTACCGGGTTAGCTGCAGACAATCAGTTGGGCAATGCTTGGCATCATATTTCTGGAACGGAAGGGAGAAGAGTTAATTTAGTTAAATTAAGGTATGACACACTGATGATACAGGCTGAGACTTCTGGTTTTGAATTGTACAAGTGGGTTTCCCAGTTGGCATGTTCATAGGCATAAACAAGCACAGAAGGGAAAACTAGATGTTTTCATTCAAACAACTATTTGGTATCTATTCCTCCTGAATTTAATAAGTTTCACTTCTAATTTGGGAAATTGTCATACAGAAATACATTCTGTCAAACTGTACCTCAAGTTTTGTACCAGTTTAACTGTGGGAAGTGGGATATTATAAGTATGTTGTTTACAAGTGGGAACAGAACAAGTATTCATCCCTGTCCCGCAGGACTGAAGTGTACTTCAAGGACAGTTACGTGAGTAAAACTTCTGTTGGTTTCAGTTGTAGTTGATCCAGCACTGCTTTTCAAGAATTTCATACTGATTTGTAAGGTGGCTGCAAGTACTTGAGAGGATGGAATTTAATTATAGGGTATTAATTATACCAGCACTCCATGGTCTTCAGAATTTCACATAATATGCAACTTTGAGAGAGTATTCCAATATTCCTTTCTCTTTGTTAGTGGTTTTTACTATAATTTTAAGGTTTTGGCATCTAGTTTATAAAACAAGGAACTCTTTCCACAGTGTGAAAGAAAGTGATATCACAGCTAGTTTATAACATAGTTACTTATTATATAAGTATTTAAAATACATTTAAATAAATGTAAACTGAGTTAAAGAAATTAAATTTTTGGAGATAATCTAAAACTTCACTTGAGGTATTACTTCACTGAGAAATACAACATTATTTTTTTTAGTGGATTTGTTGGACGTACACAGCCGTCACAGTTTCATCAAGAATTCCTGTGTAGTCATTCAGTTAAACTCGGAAGAAAAAAGATGAGCAAGTAGTTATTCCTTAGGCAGTGTTTGGTGAGACTTGAGCAAAAGGCTAATAGTTATCAGAGTAATACAACATAGCAGGCTTTGACACACAAGTCCATTCCTTCCCTCAGGGCACTAAATGGCTGAATTTGTAAGAAGCGAAACAAAACAAACATAGGGCATCTTACAGGGATAGTAAATAAATTCTGGCATATTGTATTCATGTGGAGGGTAAGTGCAATTGTGTGTATCAGTGTCATGAGAAATGTCAATAGGAAAAAGCTACAAGCACAAATATTTTGTGGCTGACCTTTTTTTCCTGCGTTATGAGAGATAGCATTTGTAAAATTTCTTAGGAGGTGATTTCTTTGCTGTAATCAGTTTACCAGTGTATTCAGTGTTCTATACCATGGCTTATTTTATGCTTTACATCATGAATTTGTAGGAAGAAAAGTTTCAAGATGATTCGATCCCAGTCTTTGTCATTACAAATTCCATCTCAGGAATGGAAAGCACCATCGGTCAATCCTGTTCTGTCTCCTGCAACGCCAGTTGTTCCAAGTGCTTTTCTGCCAGTCCAAGTGCCATACGATGTACCAGAGTTTCAGAGAGTTTCAATTAGTGGGGACTACTGTGCAGGGGTAAGAAACCTTTTTTTTCCCCCTTTCTATGTTGGGAGGAGAAGAGGGAATGCCAAACCACAGGCAGCTAATGTACATGAAGTGTGACATGACAGTGTATAATGGCTCCCTGCAACAAACTGTAAATTGCTTTGTGAACGCATCAATTTGTAAAACAGTTAAAGTTGAGGTCAGGTCGTTTTATACTTTTTATCTATTGGATTTATTTTCTTATTTATGATAAAAGCATAATCAGGCATTCAATAAATGGGTAATACACTGTAGGAGGAAAAAAGCCTGTGTATTTTGCACATTGTACTTGGACTCTGCTTCTGTCACTGGCTTCCTGAGATCTTGGGCAAGATCCATACTGTGAAGCTTCTACTTTCTGGAAATGCAGTCTCCTTGTTACTGGTGTGGATTCAGTTTGTTGCTAAAACTGCTGTTCTGTTTTTGTCAGTATTTATCCAAGCTTTCCTTTCAGGTTACAGTTGATGATTATGAACAAGCTGCCAAGAGCCTGGTGAAAGCTCTTCTCATTCGAGAAAAGTATTCACGTCTTGCCTACCATCGCTTCCCAAGAATAACATCTCAGTATTTGTGTAGCATGCAAGATGAGAAATGGAGGGTTGAGGATGAAGTGTATCCAGGTGAATATCCTTGTTCTCTTTAAAATGTAGAATTAAACCCATGCACTGCTGTAGTAAAGGTAAGTTGGATTTTTGTGATGATCTCTTCTGAGTGTCTTTGCCTCTGTAATTTATTCTGTTAGTAAGTGGTGGAGAATTACTGATGGACCTGAGTTATAAATCCTGTGTCCAATCTGAAACTTTAAAGCTGTCAAAAGCTAAAAACCCCCATACTAGATATTCACTGATATTTTTGTTTTCTCTGTTTTTTGGTAAGGAGTACACTTATGTAGCTCCAGGAAAAAGCTATATGGGTATGGTTTAAAGTGAAGTCATTTCTCCTGATCTTGGCATACTGAAATTAAAGGGATTATGAGCTCATCTGCATTGTAAACTGAAGCACAATACAGACATGCCTGTTAGCAAGCCCTGAGTCAGTAATTTCATAGGTATGGTACCCTTACCAGGTTGAGGCTGAAAGCTGTATACTCATATTTGTTGGGCATTCTGCCCAGTTTAATAAACTCTCATCTCTCAACAAGACTTATTAGGTTGACCGTATTCTCCACTATAAATGTCACAAGTGATATGTGTTGCTTAAGTGGGTTGTGTCTTGAAAGCTTTGCTTGTGCATTAAACAGTTGGAACTGCTAGTTTTGGATTTGTGTGTGAGGAGTAACCTTTGGTCTGTACAAGTTTGCCACTGTAGATGTGTCCATATTGTTTGCAATGTATTCTAAGCCATAAAGTGACATTTTAAATCAAGTACCCTCTAGCTCAATAGTTTAAAGAGGGTGAATTAACATGTTTTTCGAGCATTTGTTATGCAGAAAGAATGTAAAGAATATTCAAAACAGGAAAGATATTTTGGAACAGCTGGAAGGGAGATGTTTTAAAGCTATTATTAAGTTAATAATTTTTTTACAGTTGTAATTTTTAAACTTACTATCTCATTACATGATGTCTTAATTGGCATAAATTTGAGCTGGATAGTTACAAACTGATACCATTCTTATCTCTAATATCATACATTCAGGTGCTCTAAGTGACTAAAAGGACCAGATAATTACTTTTCTGTCTTGGCTTAACTGAACAGGTAAAAGAAGTAGTCTGATAAGTCTGAGCCCAACAGTGCAGTTCAGTTGACATAAATGTGGTCGAGGCACATATTTTACACTGGTTGCAGTGGTAAGATATTGTAGAAGCAGAATTGAACATTCACTAACATGAGCACTAGTGTTTAAGTGTTCACATAAACTGAATCTCCCAGAAGTGTGTGCCTTTACCTGATTCTCAGAAGAAAAACCCCGAATTGTTATTTTTGTAAAGGGATTACAAAACTGCACTGAACAAATGCCAACTGTGCTTCTGGTACTTTATGATTTTGGTCATGATTGGAAGGCCAAGGGGAAAATTGTAGTTGTGTTTTACTATCTCTGGCTTCTACACTTCTTGGTTCTATTAAAAAAAAAAAAAAAAAGTAAAAATAGTCTTATTTAAAAAAAGCAAATAAAGACAGACCCTAAACACAAACAAACAAAACCCACAAAAAACCCCAATAAAAACGCAGCAAACCCAACCAACCAAACCCAGATAAACCCTACAAACCAACCACTGCCTAGGTCAGAGTGAGAAGCACTGAGTCTTAAGTTATTTCCTGCTCAGTGGATTGTGGGAATGGCAGAGGTAAAGTAAGGCACAGCCTGTTCTTTTCTGACAGATGTTTCAAGATGAGAACAACTGCGTTACTATGTGCTTAAATACAAACTAACAAAATTACTACAGTGAGTCAGAAGGTGGGAAAAAAATATGGTGGGTATTAAGTCAACAGCTGTTTTTTTTGTTCAAAAATCTCAATTGTACTTTCAACCATCCTAATTTAAGTACTTCTGAAAACTTACTTTGAAACTTGTGCCATCATACATTAATAAAAATAGTATTAAATATATTTATACATTGGTTCAGAGAACTCTAACGTATAGTATTTGAAAGAAGGTAGGCATTTAGCTGAGAGAGGGACTGCAATTAAAGCCTGTCAGGATAAAGCTGTGTTGTAACAACAGGTCTTTTATAGTAAGTGAAAATGCGATTTTTAATAGGAAAATTAAGATCTGTTAGAAATGAAGCATTATAGAAGTGGGAAGTCCTTTTTGTAATTACTTTGCCTTTTATGCAAGCTATTTTCTGTTAATGTAAATTTATTTCCAGATTTCCATTCACCCCCAGAAGAAAACGAAGATCCTTACAATCTTGATGATGCTCCAGACAATTTGGATTATGTTATCAAGATAAAAGGTGGCATTCCCTTTGTTTACGATAACAAAGAAATGATGGAACTCAATGAGCCTCGGAGTCTGCCATATCCTGACCTTGAGACATACACCCTTGACCTGAGCCACGTTCTTGCTCTAATTGCAGATGGGCCAACGTATGTTTCTTTCTTCTCTGCCCCTTCAAGCTGCTGGTTACCTTTAGTTTTAATACTTCTCACTTTTGCAATATGTAATTGCTCAGTAGACTTATCCTACAGGACTGTTTTGGTTTGCTCTTAAGCATTACTTAAAAGCAAAAAAAAAAAACCAACAAAACAAAAAACAAACAACCCAAATACAGATGTATCTCATTTCTTTAGTTTATCTACATCAACCATGGCACAATGAGAAGCAGTTAACAGAGAAGCAAGAAATTGACCAAATGTTCCCATTGAAGTCAGATCTGATCCAAATTTCTGGAGGCATGGAAACTGAAACTTGAACCTTGCCTCTTTTGCTTTGGCCTGTACTGAATCTGAGGTTTTTTCAACAGTTGTCTGGAATTTCTTCATGTCTATTCTACTTTTGCTGCATGAAGAGAAACCTTGAATTTGTAGAGCGTACAGAACAGCTCAGAAACATAAATACCCAGTCTGATTTGTTCCAGATGTGAATTGCCTGCTCATGTGTTGCAAAACTGATCCATGCACGCACAATCAAGATAGGTCTGAAACCTCCCAGAACCATCAAACTCCTGGGAAATCTCTAAAAACTAGAAACTTAACAACTCTAGAATAGTTGCTGACATACTGGTGACAAAGCAGTGTCCTTGCTCAGTACATAATGAAAACATGTACATCCAGGTTTTTTAGTTTACTTCCCAGCTGAGGGCTGGAACCATCAAGGTTTCTGCTGGCCTCAACACTGGGAAAGGAAAAGAATCCACCTAGAATGGAACAAAGCAGGAACCTGACTGTTCTTCCAAACTATTTGCCCTGCCTCCCAGCACTACATTTCTAGTCCTGCCTTAGGGAGATTATCACTTACAGTGTGACAAGTTAGTCACACCGGATGCATTCTTTCCCTTTGACTCTTGTGTCTGACACCTGCAGCGTGATCTGTCTGCCTTGTGCATTGATAGTGACAAAGCAGATGGGCTGAACAGAACTGCCCCATTCCCTAAGAGCTTTTTCAAAAGCCTTTGTTTCTGCCAGCATTATCAGCACTGCTGCTCCAAATCAAAGCTAGTTTGATTATGCTTTGTTTACAGTATGCAATGGGGAAGTGCATTTCCAGTTTCAGTGTGTTCTATTCCAAGAGACAGGTAACTGAGAAGATACAGGACAAGGAGGAAAAAGTTGAAACACAAGTCATACTGAAGACCCTTCTTTTTGCAGCTTTTGTTAACAGCCTTTATCAGGGAGCTGTAAGTAGGAAGGGTCTTGGAGGACATATTCAAACACGCAGCACCTTTGTGAATGTAGGAGCAATTATCTACTCCTTTCACTTCTTCAGATTAAGCTTTCGCAGGCTGATTCACACTCCCTGATAAATAAACACAAACCAAAAGGAAAAAGTCTTCCCAGTAATTCTGTTGCATAAGCTCTTTATGGTTTCCCCGTTTGCAGTAAGTGCTTTCCTGCCACTTATGTCTGTCACACATGGGGCTGCTTGGAGATCAAGAACCCATTACTCTTTAAGCTTCATTGTTCTTTAACTGGTGAAAATCTCACCCCTACTCCTCAGTTTTTCGGTGTCTTGAATAACAGTATAACCCAGGAAAGACTTCCTGCAGCAGGCAAATGCGTTTTAATCAATATCAGATACGAGACTATGTTTGAATTGGATTTTCAAGTTTGTGATGGGATTTGTGTCCCACTGAGGAGAGACTGTCAACAATAAAGCGGAAAAAAGAAGGCTATTATATGACTAGTGCTACAAAAATATTGTAGATTCACTAAGAATTGACAGATGGTGAAGGGAAAAAACATGTCACTGGTTAAAAATAGAAACATAACAGAAGATGAAAGTGAAAACAAAGTAGGCAAGCAGGAACAAACCCATGATTTTTCAAAGAAAAGCAAAAGAAAATACTTTGTAAAAGTATTTCTACACAATATATGTGTTTTAAGGCATTAAAAAATGTAAGTGTATTGGATCATAGCTTGGCTGCTTATATTCACATTGAAAAGCAAATAAACTGTGGAGTTGTGGGTTTTTTGGTTCTGGGTTTGTTTTTTTTATTTATTTTAATCATATCCATAGTGAGCCATAGTCTGGATTCCTGGAGGTTTATTATGTATGAGGTGATCTGCTCTGTTGGAGGTATAGTTTGAGAGTAGTAGCAGCAATTGACATCACATTTGATTACGGGCTTTATGCTTTCTCTGATCATCATTACTGAAAGAACTGCATTTTATGCAGCGATACAGTGATAAATACCTGGACTATTTAAAGGATGTAACACAGTTCTGTAGAGTTTGTTTGAGGTTTGGTCTGAAATCATATTGGCTATTGATTGCTAGCCAGTAGGATAAGAAGAATAGATTTGTCGTGTTCTTCATATTAAAAAAAACAAACCCAAATAATTTTTTTTTTTACTGTGAAAACTTTCAAGTTCTTTCTAAACTTAAAATAGAAATAGTTTAAGGCTGATTTTTGTGTTTTCTTTTACAGGAAAACATATTGTCATCGGAGGCTTAACTTTTTAGAATCTAAATTTAGTTTACATGAGATGTTAAATGAAATGTCGGAATTTAAAGAATTAAAGAGTAATCCCCATCGAGACTTTTATAATGTGAGAAAGGTAAGTGTGAAAAGGGGTAAAGGCATGACGTTGTTAGTAGGAGTTCCAGTAATTTTGCTTTTCTTGTGTGATGTGGTAGATGATATCCATGAAGTGGTGTGTGAATAGTGCTCAATTGAACTACGTTATTTTAAGAGTATTAAAATTGTTCTACATGGGAGCATGCCAGGAAAATGAACTTGAATGCAAGTGGGTTAAATGGATTACGCTAAATGCATCTGTTTTACTTGTCCAGAATCAAAGGAGCTTAATTGTATGTAGATTGCTTAAAAGGAGTGAAACAAAGTTAATCAAATGAAGCTCACTTGGATTATGAATAAAAATATCCACATGGAGGTTCAATTTATTTTAATTAATTCACTTGAATTCAGTCAAGTGCTTTTTCCTGCTTCCGTGTAGGTAAGTCATACTAGACTGTAGTAGGAACAGCTGTATAGGTTTTGGATGAAAATTTAACTTCATATTGAAAATAAGCATTTAAATACATGTCAAAATGAAAAAGGCCTCCCACAGAAACTGAACTGAGGGTGTGTGCTGCCATCAGTATCTGGTAAAAAATGTCTATGAGATCTGAAATAAGTTATTTGAGTTACATTCTTAGCTGTCTCTGAGATACACTGGGGTGTAATTAGAAGACAGGGGAATGAGGGGGCTGATTTAATTTCCTGATGTATTCACACCTGGGCGAGCTGCCTTCTCTTCAAAGCATGGAAGCACCAGTGTTAGCCTGCTTCTGTTTGCTTCCCTTTCTTGAACTTAAAGAGGAAGTTAGTGGAGAGAGAAGGCTTGTTTGATAGGTGAGATTGCTTCACAAAGCAGTAATTGTTGCTGGTGTTTTTAACCACTTCAGGCCCATTTTGCATTGTTTCTATATGCACCTGGAAGACGTAGTCCTTATGTTGTAACTTCAGGGTTTAGATCAGTACTTTAATCCTTCTGTTCATGTTCTGATTAGTGCTAGTACATCAAGAAGTCATTTTTGCTTTTTCCAATAGTGTCCAGTGTGCTGGCTACTGAATGTTTGCCACTGTTGTAATAACAGTGAAGTACAAAATCTGCTGAACACAAGTGTTTGATGGATGTACCCCTGTCTATCACAAGGCTAGAAGCAGATGGGTTGGTGGGCAAATTCTAATGAATTTCACACTTTTATCTGTTAAGTGTATGAACAGGAGGATCTATAAGCTAATTCACTCAAAGCAGGACTCAAGTGGCAGAGGCTTGACTCCTAACTTGACAGTTTTCTTGCATAACCCTGAAGAAGATACTTACTCTGTGCCACATTCAGATAAAACATTTCACTAGCTGACAGAGACATTAACAATAAAACACATGGTGACTGAGAGGTGTGAAGGACAGAGTTGTGGATCAGGTAACTGCCTTAGACAATCAATTTAATTACTGAGAAGCTGTAATTAAGAAGATTGTACTTGCTAAGTTCAGCTTTTGATTTAAAAGCAAATATTCAATGTCTCTGAACGTATCTTAATTATTTTCTAATTATTTACTATTAAATAAGCCAATCTATAAATGGATTAATGTTGTTCAAAACCACAAAATTTCCATCACTTCCACTCCTGAATATCCAAATTCAGGAGTGCGGGAACAAGCTTGCTCTTCTCTGCCAGAGATCATTCCTACTTGCCAGTTACAGCTTGCTGCACAAAGTTAGTCTTGCTTAAAATAGTATTCTTCTGAAGCAAGCTTACAAGTAGTATTTTTATGAAGCACTCTGAAAAGTAAACTGCATTGTAGGTAAAGTTCCTGCAAGTCCCCAGATAGAATCATAGAATAGTTAGGGTTGGAAAAGACCTTAAGATCATCTAGTTCCAACCCCCTGCCATGAACAGGGACACCACACACTAAACTATGTCACCCAAGGCTCTGTCCAGCCTGGCCTTAAACGCCTCCAGGGTTGGAGCATTCACAACTTCCTTGGGCAACCTATTCCAGTGCCTCACCACCCTCACAGGGAAGAACTTCTTCCTTATATCTAATCTAAAGTTCGCCTGTTTAAGTTTAAAGCCATTACCCCTTGTCCTACCACTACAGTCCCTAATGAAGAGTCCCTCCCCAGCATCCTTGTAGGCCCCCTTCAGATACTGGAAGGCTGCTGTGAGGTCTCCACGCAGCTTCTCTTCTCCAGGCTGAACAGCCCCAGCTTTCTCAGCCTGTCTTCATACGGGAGGTGCTCCAGTCCTCTTATCATCCTCGTGGCCCTCCTCTGGACTTGCTCCAACAGCTCCATGTCCTTTTTATGTTGAGGACACCAGAACTGGACACAATACTCCAAGTGTATCTTGTTTTCCCTATGTCTTGCTAACTCATTTAATGTTTGGATCTGTAACTTCCCCAAAGTGCTTCCTTCCTAGTAACAGTATTAGCAGTGAAACTTATAATATAAAACAGACACTTCTAGGGCTTATATTTTCAAGTTGTCTCTCTGTTAGTCAATCATTAAACAATGTGTACTACTCATAAGGAAAGCAAGAAATAGGATTCACCTCCCAAAAGAGTTGTTAGTGAAGTTCTCTGTTACATCCCTCAGACACTAATGTGGAAAACCTGGTGCAATCCATTTGCTTACATAAAAGAGCCAACGTAACTGATGGAAAATGCACAAATTAAAACAGTTATGAGTGTAGTGTCAGGGTCAATCAGTGAGCATGTATTGATTTGGGTTTTTTCCCCCTTCTCCCCTCTTTTTTGAGGTTTTATAGGAGTTCTTCAGTGAGCTCATTTATTTAATAAATCCCAAGATAAGGCTCCTACTAAATAAGGAAAAGCATGCGTATATCTTTCATAGTGTACTTAACCAGAATGCAACCAAAGGTATGTTTTGCACTGATTAAGCTGGAACTGGAAAATTGCCTTTTAATAACCTGACAAATGCATCTATAGACTGATAAAGACTGGCTGGCTCCATTTGGCTCTCCACAGGAGGTGGACAATTGTTTATGTAGGAGAATGCTAACTTTAGAGAAGACTCTTGAGTTTACCATCAGCAGGGCTTTCCTACCTTCTCTGGCTGATGAACTGAAAAACACAGTAAAAATAGATTCTCCACAAGAGCTGTTCTTGTTATTAGGAACTTTAGTTTGTCTCAGTTGTTATTTCTATGGGGAGGTTGTTGCTTTTTTTGTTTTTTAAAAAAAGGTGAAGCCAAGCTACTTGTTTACCTAACATGTACTTGCTGCCTCGATAACATACATCTATGTACTGTGTTTGATACAGTTTTATAAAGAAGAAAAAAATCACAGCATAAGCCTCCTTCCATATTCTTTCTCTCTCCAGCCATTATTTCAGTCTGTCAGCACAGCACCACCCCCCCCCCCCCCCCCCAGTATCTACTTACTGACAGTGAATGTGAAGAATTATGTGATAGCACTGGATTCAAAGGACAGGAGTGCCTCTGTGCACTTCTGTTAGTAGTACATGTAATGGTGCCCTACCACTGTTACCTGGCAGTAAAGCTGTACTTTGTGCTTTCAAAGCACTGTGCATACTATTTCTCCTCTCCTGTCTTGCAGAGATGCTGAGGTAAGTTCTTGCGTCTACCCTCAGTCTTGCAAAGTAAGCACACAGGGAAAGCCATCAATCATTGTAATGCAGAAATTCTGTAGAGATCATAAAGCTTTTCGTCTGTCATTTCTTTTAATAATAAAAAGAAGTTAGTTTCACTTCACAGCGGTGTATTTCTGTATTTGTGTGAATACAGACATCATAGGGCTTGATTCTGTGCATCTGCAATGCATATAGCTGCACAGGAAGCTGGAGATACGGGGATTTGCATCTCCTGTCTCTCCTGGTTTCGGTGTTGTTCTGGATGCCATGAGCATGAATGAGACAAGCTCCTGAGGGGTGCTGCCTGGCTTTAGGGACTATTTCAGCTGCCAGGAGCTTTACTGAGCTACCTTCTGTGCTACTCTCTGCAGAGTATTTTATGTCTCCTGCCTCTTATCCCTGTTACAGAGCTGTGAGGAAAGAATCAAACTCATTTTATTAAGCTGTTGCATTCTAACCGAAAAGCTAGTGTGGTATGAATATATTGGTGAGCAGTAGTAGGATGTAGAGTGACTTCCCTTCATTCCAGCATTGAAGTAAAGGCTGCAGTGTCAAGTTCTTGAAGCCCAGAGCTATTGGGGTAGAAGTGTTTCTCTGTTAAAGTTCATGTGTTCGAAAATGAGGTAGTTTGCAAGTGTGGATACTACTTACTATACACTGGATGATGTACTGGGTAAGTTCAGTATCTTTAAAAGGGCTGCCCTTGGCATTTGTCTTTGCTGTATTTATCACTTTGAATCTAGAGCATATGCCTAATTCAGTGCAAAACTATTTCTGACATGTACAGAGAAGCCCTGAAGTAGATGTTTTGTGGAGATCTGAGATGGTGGAAGAAAAGAGAAGCAATACAGGAAGATGAGGGAGGCTGAGTAGCTTAGGGAAGCTGGTGCTGGCAAGACATGTTTTGGAGGGCAGTGAGAACTTCAAGCTGGAAGTTGCACACACATGTAACTATCTTGACTGAGAAGTATGAACATTTCATCCACAAAGCCTGAAGACAGAATGGCATGGGTGGTCAGGTCAGCAAGGAAAGAGCTAGCCTGAACTGAGAGTGTGCCAAGGAAGACAGCCTGGCTTCATTACATGGAGAATTGCTGAGTCATCATCTTTTATTTGCAAGAAAGTGATGTCCACCATTGCTTGAATGAGGTGATGGAGTTAAAAGAATTAAGGAAAGCTTTGTGTCAACAGTTGTTAACTCATTTGTTAAAAAGCTGAATTCACTGACGGCATATTAAATGGTCCAAGATAGGCTTCTGTCAGTCAGTGTGGGGTTGGGTTTTTTTCATTTAAGATTAAGGTGACCTTGAGTAAAAGGTTTTCTTCTGTGGGAGGGGACAATAATAGCTGCAACAGGAAGTTTGGCTAAGGGCATGCAGCTGAGGTTTTTTCTACTAAGGGGAAATTGGGCTGAAGTGGCACTGTATCAAATTTGGAAATGCAAGCAGAATGTTTGCAAATAGAACAAATAGACCTTATGGTAGAGGCTTGTTACTTAGGGCCCAGAAAAGCCTCAGCTTATTTCATGTATTGTATGAAGAGCAAAATAGCAACATCTTAAACTGGGACTGGTTTTATCTTTTGGTGGGGAGAGAGGAGGCAAAGCGGGCATTTGTCACTTACATGAACTCAATCTGTTCAAATTCTTTTAGTAGATGCCCTTCACAGTAAATAACAATGAAATTAGAAACAATGTCTTAGCATGACAGCACTTCAAATAAAGATAATAATTTTAAAATCCATAACCACATCAGACCATATAAGCTATGTCTAAGGATTCCGTGTTCAGGTGCTTCATGTAGGTAGGATTGCACCCTGAATTGTGAAAACGCACAAAAGCATACCCACTGATTGATTCTGTGTTAGGGTAGGTCACAGCTTAACTCGTTAAACCTTCCAAAAGGTTGCATTCCTTCTAAAAGCAATGAAGAAAAAGCTGTGTGATACTCTTAAGACTTATTGTTACTGAGGTTGCTGCTTTCCTGAGGGTCAGAATATACTGGGTAGTTAATAAAGGTAGCCAAAGTACTGCATATTCCCTGGAGAAAGCGTGAAAGAAACTCCAGGAAAATCTTTTCACTCTTGGGAAATAAATGTTTTTAGGGAGATGGAGGAGGGGATAAAAAATAAAAAGGAAAATCTTGGTTCTTGGAGAATAAGGCTGGCATGGTTAGCTCAGCTATAGAGCTATGGGTGATATGCTTGTGGGGACAGGGGACGATTTCACAGGAGCTTACTGAGTTGCTGAGGCGCACTGGAGAATCATTTATCAGAGGGAAGCATGACTCTAAAAGAAGTGCAGTTACTACTGTGTCATGTGATCCTTGCATCCAGGCAAACGAAACAAAAAGTCTCCTGGCTGTGTGTCCTTGCCCTCCTAACAGTGGTGAATTCATGCTGATGTCAATAGAAAGGAAACGTTTTGTTTTGTTCTTTCAAGACTCATTAATTCCAGTAGCTGAGCCACCGCTGGAACTAGTGCATTCTGAAATTCAGTAAACTACTCTTACTCATGTTCCCTAACCCTCATATTCTATGCTTATGACTTGCTTTTTCTGAATGTTTAGAGCTTATAGGGCATCTATTATTTCATTCTCCCACATAAGTCAACCAAGCCTAGTAGTTTGTAATATTTCACTGGTCCAGAAAGTGTACACTAAACAGTATTTGTTTCTAAAACAAAAGTGCACTTGGGTTCAAATATCTATATAAGTAGTCTGAGGAATGTAATAGTATGTTAAGTGGAGCTGTTTATACTATTTTAGACACAGCATTGTTTACTGTGCATTAGTACCGTACCTCATGTTATGTACTTCAAGACAGTAATATGTCTCTTGCTTTTTCATTTAGCTGTAAAGTGTCTAGTATATTTGAACTGGGCAGCAATTAACAATTAAGTGTTCATGTTTAGGATTCAGTTTATATCCTGGTCTTTAGTTACACTATTAACATTCACGTGGAGATACATTTACCCTTACAAGGCTGCAACAAATTCTGTATGTATAAACTGAAATGGAATGACTACATATGCCAAATAAACCAGTGGCATTTCTGTGGAGTGTATGTCATAGCAAAATTGAGGTCTACATTGCAGGGTTGTGGCTGTTACTTGTTCAGGTATTCCATGATGTGTTTCCTAATGGTCCTTAAAAGCAGAGCAGGATGTCAACTACTTATGTTGGTGAAATCTGAAATCTCCTATTTCCTTTTGTGACGTTTCTTGGGAACGTTGTCAGTATTTGGGGTTTTTTTAAAGCCTTTAAATGCAGACAGCAAAACTGGGTGCATTCTGACAGCTGCATTACCAGTGCTGTGCAGAAGCAAGATTATTTCTGCTCTGAAGCTCTTTTTTACTCCGTATAAGAAGTTAGAGCAGCCTACAGTTTCACATAAGACCTCATGAACAAGTGTTAACTTATGATTCCAAACCATCGCCTACCAATATCTAGGGCAGTTCTGCATGGTGCTTTTTTAGACTTACTATCTGAACTGTGTATCATCTTGAAACTTGTATTACAAACTCATTATCTTGCTTCCTACTCCTTCTGCAGAACCATTCCATCAGTTGGTCTTAGAAGACTTGTCTCCAGTACCAGACAGTTGGTGCACAAGGCAGATGTTAGAAATACAAAATGTTAGCGATTGCTTCTGACTACATCCCTGTGCTCACGGCCATCTGCGTCCAGGTAGAGCCTGGGCTGGAGGAAAATGGGAAGCTTAGCAGACAGACTGCATGCAGCACTGCAGCTTCTGAGTGAGCTGCAACTGCTTCTGCCAGGATCTGGCAGTCTGGAGTTGAAGGCAGTTTCAGAGTGTGACAACCTGTCCCCAGGGCCATTGTGCTCATTGTGTGTCAACTGTGAAATCTAATCAGAACAGTGATTTGTTTTGGTTTGGTTTTAAATTGATAGCAGTTTGTTGGTAGAGTAATTTCATTAGTCTACCTAGGACATGCATTAGGCTGTTTTATTGTTCAGTCAGAATTTCTCAAGGGAATTCATAACAAGTGGACCCTGGAGCAGCAGCTTTGTTGCTCCATGCACTGGGTATTGCTGTGCTGGTAGGTTCCTTAAGGCCGTTATCCTAGCTAAGGCCTATTCTTCCCTTTCAGGTACTTGGTCCTTGTTAGCTACAATTAGTATTATCTGCCTTTTCAAACAAGAAGAGTTGGGGAATACACCTGATTTTCTTCTTTCTCAGTGTAGTTAAGATAATAAACCCTTGACTGCAAGCAACTGCAGTGGATTCATTTTACATACCGCCTGGTAGCACGAAGGCATTACACATACTGAAGGGAAAACTTAAGTCAACAAACAAGCTCCCAGTCTCATCAGTTGGTTCTTTGGATTGTGTTCTAATATAGGCTGCTCTAATAGATACACAGGCTCTGAGCAAAAGAGAAGCATACCTGTGGAAACCATTTGGTTCTTGTCTTTTTTCTTTTTTTTTCCCCTAAAAATGGGACTTCAACAAAAACTGCAGGAGGGCTCTTCTGTGGAGCTTGCGCTTCCCTTGGTGTGTAGAGAGATCTGAAGAAACCAAAAAATCTGTCAGCATTATGAGCTGCTGTATTATAATTAAACTTGGAAAAAACAGTGACAAAATTTCTCACTTGTGCGTTTTGCAGTTTGAGTGACCTGAGCTGTTCTGTGTGGTTGAAATAAAAACCCCCAAATTATGCTTTTGGAAGTGGCTAAGAACTCCAGGTTCTTTTAGCCAGAGAGGGTGGTTATGACTGCAGTCTGTAACTAGAAGGACATCATCGTTCTATGGATGAAGTAAAGAATACTAAAGAATATTTAAGTATAAAATTTAATCTGAATCCAGGTTCTGGGATGAGCACTTACTATGTATCTTGTTTAAAAATATTTAAATAGGGAACTGTTAATTGAGGGCTGTTTCATTTATAGTTCTGCTTGTTGAATAATTCCTCCAAACCCAAAATCTCAGGGTTCTGAAACATTTTGACTTATTTAGGCACTAACCCTTTTGTTAGTTGGAGAATATTTTAGAAGGCTTTAGTCATTGTTGTCACTGACTTAGATACTTTACTAATTTAAGTTAATGTATGTGGATGATGAGCATGAATAACTTTTTGATTTCAGGTTGATACTCATATCCATGCTGCTGCTTGCATGAACCAGAAACACTTATTAAGGTTTATTAAGCACACATATCAAACGGAGCCCGACAGGATTGTTGCAGAGAAGAAAGGCAAGAAGATGACTTTAAAGCAAGTCTTTGAAAGCCTTCACATGGACCCTTATGACCTCACTGTAGACTCTTTAGATGTCCATGCAGTAAGTCTATCAAAATGACAAAGGAAACAAGAAAAAACTAAGTTTAAGTGTGAAATTCTGGTTTCTACAGTTTTTGCATGATAACTTATCAAATCAGAATTTGAACTCATGCATTACTTGGCATGTTTGACTTAAGTTAGCATAGGCTTTTTCTTTTATGTGCCTTTTATTGCTAGGCAATTTAATTTACAAACTATTGTGTGTACTTAAATCCATGGTTATTTGGGGTTTTTTTCCTCCTCCAGGGTCGTCAAACGTTTCATAGATTTGACAAATTTAATTCCAAGTACAATCCGGTTGGTGCCAGTGAGCTGAGAGACTTGTATTTGAAAACTGAGAACTACATTGGTGGTGAATATTTTGCTCGTATGGTCAAGGTAAGTAAGTTTCAAGCTTTTCCAGCCATAGAGAAGTTAAGGTTTGTAAAAGGTATGTGATGTTATAATTGTAGTTAGTGCTAACACTATGGTTAAGTGATTCCGAGTACTGGGCTTGCTCTGGCATTTGTCAGAGAAAGACCTCTGCTAAGTCAGCCAGTGCTGCTTTCTCAATCATTTTATAAGGTAGAAACTCATACACATAACCTCCATGTGAGTTTAAAGCAGTGTCGTGTACAGTTTCAAGTTAATGGAGAGCAGCCAAAAGTCAATTCACTGGCTTAATATTTTGTGAGGAGGTAGTAGGCTAGTGATAGCTGCTAGGGAAGGAGGGGCTAGGGCAATGCCTCTGCATAAAACTGTAACTGCACATGTATGCACAGGCTTCAAATTAATTTCTTACAACCAAAGAATTCGTAGTTTTCATGAACTAGATGTCAGCTTTTCTTATACAGAAGTGCTTGTCTAAAATTAAAAAGCCTTAAAATTGCTTACTACCATGGATTTTGGGTCAGATTCTCTATTGGTCTGCATATTTTATGTAGTCATTTACTACAGTTTAAATAGTATCATTCTGAGTTAACAATTTTAAACATATGTCTTACAAAGGTATTAGCAATAACTGCACAAGAATATTGTCCTCTAAATCTTAGTGTTACAATGTGTTACACTCAAATGATTCTGAGATAGCTTGCCAGCAGAATATTTAAATGCCTAAAATAAAATAATGGAATAATAGACAAAAGATTTCCTTTTTATCTTTAAAGAGTAAAAATACAATTACGTCTGCTTTGAGGAAAATAGAATGATAAATATATTACTAGCTGTAAATGATCTTCAGTGTCCATATTAAAGCAAATATATTTATTACTTAATAGGAAGTAGCCCGTGAACTAGAAGAAAGTAAGTACCAGTATACAGAACCCCGCTTATCCATTTATGGACGGTCTCCAGATGAATGGCTGAACTTGGCAAAATGGTTCATTAAGCATAAAGTTTATTCCCCTAATATGCGCTGGATAATTCAGGTTCCCAGAATCTAGTAAGTAATCAGGAGCTCTTGGTAATTTTAATAGTTTGAAATCATACCAATGATTTGTTTTAATTTCTGGTATTTCTTGGATGGTTTATGAGCTTTCCTGTAGTTCTATTTATAAGCAACAGCCTGAGGAATTTATTTTTGACCATTGCTGCAATTTTCCTGACAGTCTGGGGGTGGAAGACAGGAGATGGGGTTTGAATCTACTCTTCATAAAGCTATTCAAAACTAGTGTGAATTAGTTTTAAGTCTGAAGATAATAAAAAATCAAAAATTACAACTCGGTGAAATTAAGGTGCATTCAAAGGCAAGTTAAAACACAATTATTGATGAAAATAAATAACCTCTTGAATTCCATAAATGAGAACTGTTATCACCAAACTTCCTCAAGATCAGTGACTAAGTGACAGTGAACTTGGAAACGCAACCCTGATTGCTGATTTGCAAGCTTAAATCAGTATCAGTTTTTCTTAAGTTTTAAGCATCCTTTGAGACTTTAATAAATGGTTCTTTGTTTCTAATACATATATTATAATACAGTCTCCCATGATAATTTTGTCAGCCTTAAACCTGTGCTTCATGTTTTGAAATTGCACAGTTGGAATATGAGTAGAGGAAGAGCTGTCATGGTTGCATATATCCCCCAGAGCGTGCTTCTCATTAGGGAGAAAGTTTCTGTCCTTTAATTTCTTACGTACACAACGGAATCAACACCTTCATTAAGTCGTGCACTTAATGACACACTGAAATACTGTCCCTCTGTTCTGAGAGCCTCACTAAAGCAGAACATTCTGCTTTTGTATGAAGTAGTTAACAACTTTGGAAAACACAGTCTTTCAGGAGAGGTAATTCCTTATCTCACCTATTAGTACATGGATTGCTGTAAAGGAAAGGGTCACTCTTTTTGAGAGAGCATTTACCCTTGCATACTGTCTCTATTTTTGGAGTGCTCAGGAGCTCCAGCAGAGCCTGGGTGAAGCAGAGTGGCAGGAAGTGCAGGAAATGGAGCACAGAGACAAGCCCTGCCCTGACATAAACTTTTAATTTCTTAATCCCAGCCAGACTGAAGCTGTAGAATAAACTCAAGTAACAACAAATGTGAAAGTGGAGGAAAAATACAAGCCAATTAAAGAATGGTCAAAATTGTGTATTTATTCCTTTTCAGTGACATATTCAGGTCAAAAAATATTCTGCCTAGTTTTGGGAAGATGTTGGAGAACATCTTTGTACCTTTGTTTGAAGCAACAATCAATCCTAAAGACCACAAAGAATTGCACCTTTTCCTCAAATATGTAAGTATGTTTGGATTTTTCTGTCTCACATGCAACAGATCCTCTCCTACTCGTAAATTTTGTTTGTCCGCAGCTGTTGCAGACACTAAGATCTTCCTCCTCCACAGATTACTTGTATTACTGTTTTAAAGCTCTCACATGCCATTTAATGAAAGCCTGGGTAGGGTCCTGTTGTTAAATAGTTGCCATTTATTTCCCTGAAATAGCTCATCAGCTCTTTATTTGTCCTCTCCGTAATCCTCGCTATGACCAAAAGCCATTTGCACGCTTTTGTGTGGAGGGAACATAGTAATCCAGGATGTGCACTGTGAACTTGCCTCTGGGACTGGCCATCAAAAAAGAGGCAACTGAGAGGAAGCATTGTGTAGATCCTGATGGGACTCAGAAGTGGGGATGTAGCTGCTGGGACATGATGAAAAGACAGGGGAAGTTTAGGTTAGATCTAAGGAAGAAGTTCTTCACAGTGAGGGTGGTGAGGCACTGGAATAGGTTGCCCAAGGAAGTTGTGAATGCTCCATCCCTGGAGGTGTTCAAGGCCAGGCTGGACAGAGCCTTGGGTGACATAGTTTAGTGTGTGGTGTCCCTGCTTATGGCAGGGGGGTTGGAACTAGATGATCTTAAGGTCCCTTCCAACCCTAACTATTCTATGATTCTATGACATTTCCAAGTATGCCCCAGTGCAGAACTCTCAGGTTTCCTGGGAGCCTCTGGCCTTCAGCTGCTTTTCAAATAACAAAGCAGATAAGTTTAAAGGATTCTAATCTGGATCTGATGGAATCTTACAGGCATTTGTGCACCTGGGCCTCCCGTTTGTCTCAAAAGAAAAGAAAAAAGGGGCTGTGAAACTGCCTTCAAGAAAACACTCTGCTGCCTGCAGAGTGGTAGGAGGGCAGGACTGCTAGCATAAGGAGGGAAATGAAGATGCTTTGTACGAGCAAGTCCTGAAGCAAAAGTGACATTGACATTTGCTTCTTGAAAACACTGATTTCTGTCAGTCTCTTCTCCCATCAGGTGACTGGCTTTGATAGTGTTGATGATGAGTCCAAACATAGTGGCCATATGTTCTCTGACAAAAGCCTTAACCCTGACCTCTGGACCAGTGAGAAGAATCCCCCGTATAGCTATTATTTGTATTATATGTATGTGAACATCATGTTGCTAAACAACCTTAGACGGTAAGTAGTTGCTTTTCTCTTTTACAAGCTTCCAGAAAGAAAAATCAATAATCTTAGTCTCAATCTAAGTCAGTGTCTATCTAGATCATATATCTGTTGAAGCAAAGGTTATCTTGAATTATTTTTAATAGTCCAAAAGGAGCACAGAAGTTATTTTGAAAATGTTAACTGCAAAATGAATTCAAATGCAATATTCAGAAATTGTAAAGACATCTGGTTAATGTACTGGTTTGACACAAAACTGACTTGTTGACCTTTGCTTGGATTCATAGTGGATTTCCAAATATAATGTATCTGGTGGTAGCTTGTTATCTCCTGGTAATTCAGGAGGTACAACGTTACGTTGTGAAATACTGGTTTTAGGGCTGCTGCTGTTACTGAAGATAGACAGAGGAGGACAAAACTATAAACTGCACATCTAGCTAACTTACTTTCGCATGCTTGACTCATTCAGTTTTACTACCTTTGAGAGCAACGTCTAGGCGAGTAATGCAGAGGGGTATGATACTGAATGTGAGATCATGACTGTAAAAGCAGAATTTAGCATCAGGCTCAATAAAGCCTGAAACTCAGCATCAGGTTATGTTCCTGACTTTGTGGCTGACTCACCGAGTGATCTGCACAGCTGACTCAAATTGAGACACAGTGGGGTATCCACTGATACTACAGTGTCATCGCTTACTTTGCAAGGATTTGGTTCATTATTATTATTTATGAAATACTTTGAGATTTTCTTATAGGAGGTGCACAGACTTGTCATTTTCACAGGTCTTACTCAAGTTAACATTTAAAATGTTATTTCTTCTCTCCTGCTGTTACCTCAAGCATTTCTTTCTTGACCACCCAGTAGAATCAAATCTCATAATAAAAACATCGAATGGAAAGGACACAGGACAGAAGCTGATATCCAAGTCATCCCTTTCATCACACATTTGTTTTTTACCTCAAAATCATTTCAACTACTGTTTGAAAATCTCCCTAGGTTGTAATTAAATATTCTTTACAGCTAGGTGAGATAATGATACAATTCATCAATGAGTCAGTAAAACACTTCACCCTGTTAAACATAGTATTTAAGGCACCACAGCTAGCCCATTACAAGACTGTTTTATACTTTTGGTAGTATTAGCAAAGTCAGCAAGGGTGGATTACATCCTTGCATCCATTTCCAGGAGAAACATGACTGAACTTCCATCCTAGAAATTCCTCATTACTTTAGCGGTCCTTATTGAAATTCTTTGCTTTGAACATACCTAAATCTCTAAATACTTATGGGACATTTGTCTGCACTGAGTAATAGGGTCCATTATAGCCTAAAACCCAGCATAATTATTAATACAGATAATAAAAATAAAATAGTTCTAGAATTTATAGTGTGAAGTCTGGTGTAACAACTAACACTCCTGTGCAACTGAGGCTGTGGCTTTATGCTGCATTTTACATGGTGAGATGGCAGGTTGTCACTGCACTACGTAGTGTTGGCTAACTCTTGGCAACGTGCTTCCACTGCTTCCCTCATTTTGAATCTAGGAGTTACGCAGCCATAGGTTGCATCAGTTCATTTAGCTTTCCATCCCCTAGTTCCTGCAGCTGAAAACAGTTCGGTAACTGTTCACCCAGTATTAAACAATTGCTAAATGAGATGTAACCGGGGAAGGAAAGAAGGAAGACACAAATATGTTAGGTGATGGCAGGGGCTTGGGTATAGGGACCTGCCCCTTTCAACAGCAGCCTGATTAGATGTCACACCAAACTGTATGAGAATGTGTAACTTTTTTCAATTCCCATATTAATGATAATTATATGCAAAACAGATGAAGAACAGTGCATTAACAGTGCAAATTTGTTAGTGGAACTTGCTTTTTGAAAGAGGCATGTGTACTTTTCTGTTTCGACCACACTGTGGAGAAGCTGGGTCTATCACACACCTTGTATCAGCCTTTCTGACAGCAGACAACATTTCTCATGGATTGCTATTGAAGAAGGTAACCTAAACTAATTGCTATCTGCTTAGACATCAGTCACTAGTTCAAACAGCAGTCACCAAATTGACTTTATCTGGGCAGTCCAAAATCAATTTTCTTAGCAAGGCACAAGTAACTCTTCAGCTTTGAACAGAAATCTCACCCAGAGTACTTCGACCACACTGTGGAGAAGCTGGGTCTATCACACACCTTGTATCAGCCTTTCTGACAGCAGACAACATTTCTCATGGATTGCTATTGAAGAAGGTAACCTAAACTAATTGCTATCTGCTTAGACATCAGTCACTAGTTCAGACAGCAGTCACCAAATTGACTTTATCTGGGCAGTCCAAAATCAATTTTCTTAGCAAGGCACAAGTAACTCTTCAGCTTTGATCAGAAATCTCACCCGGAGTACTGTGTTCAGCTCTGGGACCTGCGGCATAAGAAGGACGTGGACCTGCTGGAGCAAGTCCCAAGGAGATGATGAGAGGGTTGCAGCACTCCTGTGAAGACATGCTGAGAGGGCTGGACTTTTTCAGCCTGGAGATGAGGAGGTTCAGGGGAGACCTTAAGAGCAGTCTTCCAGTGCCTAAAGGGGCCGACAAGAAATCTGGAAAGGGACATGTTTACAAGGGAATGTAGTGACAGAACAAGGGGTAATGGCTTTAAACTGAAAGAATAAATTTAGACTAGATATTAGGAGGAAGCTCTTCCCTGTGAGGGTGAGACACTGGCACAGGTTGCCCAGAGAAGCTGTGGCTGCCCCATCCCCGGCCGTGTTCAAGGCCAGGTTGGACGGGCGTG